TTCAGAAGGAGCTACTCAACTGAAGAGGTAACCAGGAAAGACGCAGCTCTGTGGAGACTGCCAGCCACTGGGACTCTCAATCTTTGATTTCAACGAATTTGCACGTGTCAAGAAAAAGGCAGGACTAGGAGAGTAGAGTCCAATTCTCTAACAGTCTCTGGTGCCCCAGCACAAAAGCCAGGGGATTCCAATTTCCTTGGCTTGAGTTTGCATGGCTTCCTGCAGACTGAGCTCTGAAATTTTGCAAATCTGCATTTCTAACAAGTTCCCAGGTGAGGAGAAAGTTAGCCTAGCTTCCATAATCACTATGCATTGAGAAACCTGACCTTTTTAAATTTGTTTTAAACCACACAAGCAATAAACATGCAGGCTATATCATCTCTAACTTTTTAACCTAAGATCAGATTTGAAATTTAAAAAATTAACTACAACTAAATCTGGACTATTTTGTTGACGATGTTTGTTTTAATAATGTTTAAAGTTTTCAGATAGCGAAGCAGCAGTATGCACTGTTTCTCAGGGTCTCTTTGCACTTGCTGGTTGGTAGTTGCCTTTACCCGGGAGCTCTGAACCGAGTCACAGCTCTCTCTGACTTAATAAGGAATAAGCCTGCCAGCCTGGCCGGGAACGAAGGGACGGGCCCTTGCCCACCTGGCAAATGAAGAGCCTGAGGACACCCAGAGACCCGAGCGCCCCGGCTCCCAGAGAGCTCGGCCCTTGCCCCGGGTGGCGTCCGCGCCGCGGTCCCACCCCGCCAGGGCCAAGCCAGCGGCCCCGGCTGCCGCGCAAACACACCCAGGCGCGCAGACTCACGTCCCGGGTCGCCCGCCTGCCTCTCCGGGGGAAACCTGCCCAGGCAGGCCGAAGAAGATGGCGAGTTCCCTGGCTCAGGCTGCTAAGGGCTTCAGCTCGCGCCGGGCCTCGCGCGCCTCATCGACTCGCTCGGCTGGCGGCTCTGCGCCCCTCCCGCGCGCCGCTGATTGGCCCGCAGAAGGGGCGGGGCCGGGCGGCGCTCGCTAGCGTCAGGCCCTGGGTGTTCTTTCACGCCGTCGGTGGCACTCTCTGCACGAACGTCTTCACGGAGCCCAAAGATACAAAACGGACGCGAAGCTTGTAGTCTTAGTATTGACTTATTTTATAAGTTGGCGTGTGTAAGAGTTGGAATCAGTTATAAGTATGGTTTGCCTAGATGGCCTGGGGAGTTTCGCACACTGTAGAGTAGTTGCAGTTATTTTTTGTTTTTGTCTTTTAACTGCTGGTTTTGCATCCCAGGAAACTCTGTGAAGAGGAGATGAAGTTTTTCCAGAGGCATATTTAAAAGTTAATTGGGCCAGCTAGTAGTGTGGTGGTTTAGGCGGATGGATCCCACATGACTTGACTCCAGGGTTCGAGTTTCTACTTGGCAGCTAGAAGAACACACCAGGCTCGTGTGTGCCCCAGATCTCTGGGGGAGAATGCCCCCTGAGGGGTAATTTCTTTTTTTTTTTTTTCTTTCCTTTTTTTTTTTTTGGGAGAGGTTTACGCTATAGGGCGCGTGCGCTCGCCAGACAGAGACATAGAGACAGAAAGCTAGAAATCATCCCCCAGGGGGGATGGTCACGCCGCAATCCCTTCTCCTCCATTCTCTTCTCGGGATCTTGGGCACGCACGCACACGCGCCCGGCATGTTTTAAGCCATCGGGTCTGGGACGCGAATCACGGTCGACTACGTGGGAGTCCAGCGACATAGCCATTACGCTAACTGCTGATTCCCAAGGGGTAATTTTTCACCTCACTTTCTCTCCCTCTCTCTCCCTCTCTCCTGCAAGCACAGGTGTCCTATAGCAAAACCAAAAAAAAAAAAAGTGTAGGGTGTAGGAGGCAGCAGCCCTCAGGGCAGGATTCACCAAATTGAATATGCAATGGAAGCTGTTAAACGGGATTCAGCCACGGTTGGTCTGAAATCAAAGACCCATGCTGTGTTGGTTGCACTGAAGAGAACACAGAGCTTGCAGTGCATCAGAAATTCTCCGTGTTGAAAACTGTATTGATATCTCAGTTGCAGGGGGCTTACTGCAGATGCTAGTCTGTTAGGTAATTTTATGCGCCAAGAGTGTTTGGATTACAGATTTGTATTTGATAGATCACTTCCTGTGTCTCGGCTTGTGTCTGTAATTAGAGGCAACACAAGGATATGATCGGAGACCGTATGGTGTTGGGCTGCTCATTGCTGGTTATGATGATATGGGCCCTCACATTTTCCACACTTGTCCATCTGCTAACTGTTTTGACTACAGAGCTATGTCCATTGGAGCTGATTCTCAGCCAGCTCGGACTTACTTGGAGAGACATCTGTCTGAGTTTATGGTCTGTAATTTGAATTGAACTGTTTAAACATGATCTGCATGCCTTAAGAGAGACTCTTTGTGCAGAGCAGGATCTAACTACAAAGAATGTTTCTATTAGAATTGTTGGTGAAGACTTGGAGATTACAATCTATGATGACCATGATGAGTCTCCGTTCCTGGAGGGCCTTGAAGAAAGACCACAGAGAAAGGCACAGCCTGCCCAGCCTGCTGATGAACCTGCAGAAAAGGCTGATGAACATTAAGTGATATACCTGTCTATATGTGTAGTATCAGACATGTAAGAAAGCAGGAACATATGATTACAGAGATGATGATAGTAATCGATACTTCGAACCAAAAGATACAGAGTGCTAGAATAGTATGTTGTAGGAATCAGTTGAGATGTGTTTTTTTTCCAAGCAGCCTCACCACAGAGATATAATGGAGAGCATTTTTCTCTGAAAGGGTATATATAATTTTCTAGAAAGTATAGCTCTCTGTACTAATGTTTTTATACAAAGAAGATAGTGTCTTTGCAATTTTAAAGACCACCATGAAATAAAAATGTTTCACCTCTGATTAAAAAAAAAAATTACAACAAATTCAAGTGGAATAAAACTTGGTATATGATTGGTACACCCGAGTATACATGTTGCATACTCCATTTTTAAGAAAAAATTTAATACACATGAAAAATTTTACCTTGACCATTTTAAGGATATAATTCAGTGGCATTAAATGCTTACGTTGTCATGCAACCATTACCACCATCTATCTCTAGAACGTAACTCATCTTCCCAAACTGAAAATCCAGAACCATTGAATAGTAACTCCCTATGTCCTCCTCCCCCCCACACCCTGGCATCCACCATTCTGTCTTTATGAATTTGACTACTTCAGGTATTTCATATAAGTGGAATCATACAGTATGTCTTTTTGTGGCTTATTTTGCTTAGCATGTTGTCCTCAAGGTTCATCCATGTTGTTAGAATTTTCTTTTTAAAGACTAAATAATATTCTATTGTATGTATATAGTACAAGTTGTTTATCCATTCATCTATTGATTGAAAGACACTTGTTTTTTTTCACCTTTTAACTATGGTAAAATAATGCTATGAACGTGGATACACAAACATCTGTTCATTTTCCTGCTTTCAGTTCTTTGGGGCATGTACCCAGAAGTATTGTAGACATGCTGGATCTTACGGTAATTGCAGGTACTTCGGCCGTACTGTCTTCTACAGTGGCTGCACCATTTTACATTCCCAACAATGAACAATGTGGTCCAATTTTCCCACATCTTCACCAGCACTTATTTTGTTGTGTGTTTTGATAAGAGCAATGCTAACGATGTGAGGTGGCATCTCACTGTGGTTTTGATTTACATTTCCCTAATGATATGATATTGAGCAGCTTTTCATGTGCTATTGGGCTTTGGTACATCTTTGCAGAAATGTCTTTTTTAAAAGATTCTATTATTTTAAAAATATTTCCAGAAAGTGACACATAGAGAGAAAGTGAGAAAACAAGCCTCCAGGTCCGGGACTGGAACCATAGTCAGCCATGTGGGAGTCCAGCACCCTTAACCACCACACCACCTGCTGGCCCCAGAAATGTCTATTCTTTCTCCATTTTTAAATCAGTTTGTTGTTTCATTTTAAGAGTTGTCTATATAATCTGGATATTAACTCCTTATCATATAGGATTGGCAAATATTTTCTATTTCATGGTTTTTGCTTTATTGCATCCTTTGGCTTATTGCAACTACTAAAAAAGAGTTAAATATCAAAAATAAAACTTGGGGCCAGCCCTATGACCTAGTAGTTAAGGAAATTAGATCCCACATGGCCACCCACTAAATCCTGGCACCAGCAGCTTGAAAAACATGCAGAGCACAGGTGTGGCCAAACCCCAACAGGATGAAAAAATGGAAGAGAGAGGATTACAGAGTGACCGTGGCCCACTGAGGAAGGTGCTTATTGCCTCTCCCCTGTCTCCTTTCCAGCAAGCACATGCACATCTGGAAAATAAAAAAACAAAAATGTGGGGAAAACCAGCAGTTAGCATAATGGCTATGTTGCTGGACTCCCACGTAGTCGACCGCGGTTCGCATCCTGGACCTGGTGGCTTAAAACTCACACCGGGTGCGTGTGTGTGCATGCCCAAGATCCCAAGAGGAGAATGGAGGAGAAGGGATTGTGGCATGACCATCCCCCCTGGGGGGTGATTTCTCGCTTTCTGTCTCTATGTCTCTGTCTGTCTGGCGAGCACACGCGCCCTGTAGCGAAAAACCTCTCAAAAAAATAAATTAATTAAAAAAATAAAAAATAAAGAAAGAAAATGTGAATCAGACCTCTGAAACTCTTATCTGGGAAAAGTTAAGAACCTTGCATCCCCAGCTAAGGCCTCTGAGTGTAGACATTTCAGTCCTCTCATTAAATACCTATTTACTGAAATAAAAACAATTCTGGTGATTATCTCATATGCTGTGGTAAAAGAAATTCCATATCCTATGTCCAAGAGGACATTATTGATAAAAAGTTTTCTTCCTGACAGTGATGAAGGTGGGATACACCACTTTCTTTCTTTCTCTCATGAGAGAAAGAGAAAAGAGATAAGCACCCTCAACAGGTTCTCATCCCACAATCACTACCCACCCCCCAGCCTTTCTAGCCAGCCAGGATCACAGGCACAAATGCACCTGGTGTGTACAGGCTGACCTGAGAACCAAAGCAGTCTCCCATATGGCATGAGCATGAAGCACCATGGTGGGCCAGAATATACAATGAGATGAGCATTTTTTTTATCACGTAGTTGAGCTGGTCTATAATTAGAACTAGTTTTAAACTTAACACAAATGGCCTGCTAGAATAGCTCAAATGTGCGAAATTAAGCATGAATGTAAACTAGAAACTGTGGCCTATTTTTAGCAGAATTTCCTCTGTTATGTCTGAAAGACAGGAAAACTACTGAATACCCACACAAGGTAACGAGATTTCGTTTCTTTGTTGAAGCACCTAATTCAACATTTTATTGCCTGCGTTAGAACTTACACCATCTACCAGACTTTTATTAATCAATTTTCACAATATATTCAGGATAGAACATTCTCTATATCTTAGGTAAAAGAGATTAGAAGACACACAAGCTATGTGGTTGCCAAGGGCTAAAAGGCAAATTAGTAGAACTTTAGAAACAAATGTAAGAAACTGATTATTGGGTTCAACCATTGTTCCACATTTTCTCCAAGTAAACTAGAAAAATAACATTCTAAACTGAGAACCAAAGACTGAGGAACAGAAATAGTTTCTGGTGTCAAGAGGTCTTTATTGAAATAATAGTATGGTTACACATCTAATACCCTTTCCACTTGTGTACAATAGGTTTAAAATGCTTGCTACGTACAGTGCACAGACAGTTCAATAATCGGAACCAATACAACTGCGTTTGAAATAAATAAAATAGCCTATTTAATAATTTAAAGTAAAATTACTGTACAATATGAAAATAAAGATACATAAATGTTAGGATCTACAATGCTGCAGAAATAGTATCATTCTGCGTTACACAAAACAGTGCAAGAAAAAAATCCAAATAAGCTTTTGGAGTGCAAAGTTTA